GTGTGTGTGTGTGTGTGTGTGTGTGTGTGTGTGTGTGTGTGTGTGTGGAGGGGTATATAACACATTTGCATGTGTGTGTATTCCTCTAGACTTTTGGAGCCAGTGGTCTGATGTGGGGCCTGTGGATGTCAGTCTCAACGTGATGCCACTGCTGACTTCTGGGTGTCCCACTTTAAGCTGTACTTAGCCTATGTGGTCAGATTGGAGGCATAGTAGAATCCCTCGGGCAGTTGATAAATATGTCCCAGGACTTTGTCTCATCCCCAGAATTATGTCCAAATCTGTAGAAACAGTCAGCCAGGACCTTGAATCACTGTTCTGAACACAGGAAAAATGAAATCACCAGTTTTTGGTGGCCAAGATTTGTGGACTTGCCCTGTGAGAATATAATGGCTAGACAACCCACCAGGCTGAGTGAACTCATACAGCCAGGGGGTCTTTCACCTGCGTACCTGCAGGCCCTGCTGGCCTGGGGCCAGGATAACAAGCTTTATACGCAGCAGAATGAACCAGTACAGAATGTGGCATCTTCTCAGCTTGGGTTTTTTAGGTCACAGCCTGAGTTCATGAGGTCCATGAGGCCTGGATTCATGGGGTTCTTTGATTTGGGGCCAGGCCCTACAGTAGGCAAAATCCTTTTTGTGAGAGACTCAAGATACAACATAAGAAGGTGACATTGAACCTGCAGAGCTTGGAGCATGAGCACACTGAAGCTTTACATAACCTCAAGGATCTCGACAGGGAGACCCGCTTCTATCAGTAAGTGCCTGTCAGGGACCCCAACAGTTTTGGGACAGCCATCTCTGCTTGTGTTATTCTGGGCTGGAGAGTCCCCAGCTCTGGTCCTGTCCCTTCTGCCTCTTAGCCATCAGCATGCCTATGCCTTTTGGACTCAGTTTTGCAAAGTATGAGAGAGACTGTTAGCCATTCCCAGAATTTTCATTCAAGCCTCAGGAGCCTCGAGATAGAAATCAATTCACAGCATGAGAGAGGTGCCAGGTCCCTGGGCCTCTGGGACTCAGACAAGGTTTTCCGGAGCTGAGTGTTGTGGAACAGGGAGATAGAAGGTGCCCCCTCGGTTCTCTTTTCCTACCTTGAGGGCACTTGTCGTCTATTTTTTGATGTTGCCCCATCTCCTTGTACAGTAAAGGACAGGCGGAGACTCCTCGTTCTTTTGGAGGGACAGGGAACCCTGTTAGTGTTGTGGAACTTCAGTATTGTTATTCTTTCATGAATTAGCTGTTCTCTTCATGGTCTTCTTAGTGCAGCAGGCATGGTGGTATTGGGCTCCTCCTTAGGTCCTCATGGAATTGTTGGGCCTTTTGGTGTTCATGGGGTCCTGAAGGTAAGTGATGGCAAGAGCAGGCTGGCGGGGGGGGGGGGGGGGGGGGGGGGGGGGGGGGGGGGGGGGGGGGGGGGCGGGGGGGGGGGGGGGGGGGGGGGGGGGGGGGGGGGGGGGGGGGGGGGGTGGGGGGGGGGGGGGGGGGGGGGGGGGGGGGGGGGGGGGGGGGGGGGGGTGTACGAGGAGGCCGGCAGAAGCTTACTCTTCAGACGGTGTTTCCAGCAATCTCCACAGCCGGCTCCTAATGGAGCAGACTCGGCTGAAGAGGAAGGTGGACATGCTGAGGCAGGAAAACAAGAAAGTGCAAGAGGATTGGGCCCTGCTGCAGCACCAGTTGGTGGACATGCAGCAGATCTGTGAGGACCAAGAGGAGGAGACCTGCAACCTCCAGACCCAGGAACTATACAAGGTCAGGGACCATTTGCCCACTGGACTTATCTATACACCTGAACTTTCACCTATTACCCTGCTTACTAATAGACACACCCAGCCACCCGCCCACCTCATGCAATATGACTGTTCCTTCCTCTGTCAATGCATGAGTATTCTGGGAAATTAGCCTAGTGTGAGAATGTCAATTACTGGCAGGCATACCCTGCTGTTCTGCTGAAGGTGCAGTCCAAAGAGCAGTGTGGGGAATGAGATACCCCATAATTAGATGTTCTCTGGAAAGCTGGAGTGCAGTGTACCCGGATCAGTGGTGCCCTCTGGGTCCTGTGGCTGTTTGGCCTGGCAGGGTCATGTGACATCACAGGTAGGAAGCAGCTGGCAAAAAGAAGAGCCTAGTGGTAATGCCGGATGAGTGCTTCTCGTCATCAATTTGGATATCGTGTGGCCTCCTCCATTCTTCCTCACTCCAACGTGGTCTCCTCTGTTGCCCAGCTCTTAGTTCACACTGACAGACGCCTGAATTAGAGTTTCTCAGCCCTGTTTTCTGGGAGTTATTTGGAGTGTTTATAATCTGGAGCTGCCTAGATGACAAGGGAAATGTGGAGGACTTTTGACAGTTTGATGAGGTCAGAGTCTAGAGACTTCAAAGGAAAAAATGCTCTACCCACCTCAACGTAGTCTGGCTAAGCAGAGCAAGCTCCTCACAGCTAGTTTCGTTCCCAAGGGATGGATAACAGAGTTGTGAGAGCATTCTGAAAGAGCTTGTGTGCTGAGTCTGAACTCCATGCTCTTCTAGCATGAAGCCTCTGGGCAGGGTGGACAGTCGTGCAGTGTGCATTGGCGAGAGGAGGCCATTGGGCGTCTTTCACGTCAGTTTCTACCTTGCAACAGGGTTCCTCACTTGCCCTGAAGCTGCTGTTCTGGCTGTCCTGGCTGGCCAGCAAGCTCTGGGGTCCTCTGTGTGTGCTTGCTCCTGTATGACAGTGTGTGCACGCCTGTGTGCAACCCTCCGCTGAGAACACCATCTTGTCGTGAGCAGGAGCGGGAGACTGGAGAAACCCTGCAGAACGCCAGGAAGCAGAAGCAGCCTTCCAGGACTGAGCGTGAAGGCTGCAGCATCCACTTGAGGAGCTCCAGATGAGGTAGGAGCCCCGGCTGGGAGGAGAAGGTGAAGCCATCTGGGTCCCCTGCTCTTGGATTCTCTCTCTGTCTTTATGGGCTTTTGCTCATCAGCAAGGCTAAGAGCTACTCCTGGGAAAGAACACCTCAAAGTATTGTGCCGCTCCAGTCAACAGGAACTTCTGTCCAGGAAACAAGATGTTTGACACCTTCTGAGTCTTTAGTATATTCCTAGCAGGCTGTCCTTAAACTCGTGAGATCTGCCGACCTCTCCCTCCCAAGTGATGGGATCTCAACGGCTGCACACCACACCAGGCTAAAATTTTATTTTTATTCAGGAACATCCCCTGATCTCTGCAGTGTTTACCCATTTCTGTGAGAAGGGTTCTCTGGAGAGACTAGGTTAAGGCGTTTCCAGGATGAAGCCAGGCAGATGTCTCTGCTACAGGGATGATCAGAACCTTGATGGGAGTGTTCTGTAACACACTCCCACAGACAGCCAGCATGCAGTCTGCCCAGCTCTAGTCCCTAGGAAAACAGAGCTTTCAGTGTGGTGCCAGAGCCTGTGCAGGCACACAACTCAAGAAATGCTGCTCCAGCATGACAGGCTCCATCATGCATAATGCTTGGGTGCAAGGTGCCTCCTGAGCAGGAGGAATGAGCCAGCCTCATGACCTTGTTCAGGTGCCCAAGTTGCAAGGCTGTATTGTTTCTCTCTGTAAAATGATGTGATCCATCAGAGAGTCATCATGAATAACTTCTATTTAGATCTGATTATTAGGGTCCGTGATTTTAAATAACGATGCCCCTGGACTGTAGGAGAAAGTCCTAGTCTTCGCAGCAGAACGGAGAGCATCCAGTTCCTAGATCCAATTCTGACCTGCGTGTCAAATGGAAACATTTTGTAGGCCCAGATACTGTGTGACTGTTCTTTCTTGGGATTACAATGACTTCAGTTAGGAGATCAGTGTTGACTGTTCAGCACAGTTGAGGTGATGGGAGGTAGCAGCTTGAAGGCTGATATGGCAGGTCCCTACCAGGCCTGGGTCTTAACTGCCTTCCTCTCACAGGTCTGAAAAGCTGCTCCTTGAACTGGACCTGGCCATAGCCCATGAGGAGAGCCTCCTGCAGAAGGAGCTGCTGCACCAGGAGCCACCTGCTGAGCCCCAGGAAACACAGACTTTCTGGGAGGAATAGTCCTCCTCAGAATGGGTTTCCCTTGTGTGAACAGGCCCTGATTCTATCTAGCCAGTGAGCCAGCCAGGCTGCTTCTGGGTCTGATTCCCTTTGCTTTTGTGACAACACCCCTTGAGAGAACTGGTGTCTCCTTTGCCACTAAGTGTTCAAGACCAGCCACAGGCTGTGGGTGTGTCCTGCTAAATCTGCAGTAAGAGAAGGCTGCTGAGCATCATTTTCTGTGTGGGTTTTGGTTTTGGTTTTCTTTCTTTGTTGGTGTTTCTTGTTGGTTGTTTTGATTTTGCCTTTCTTATTTGGATTTTACATATTCTTGTTATTGTTTTATGAAATTTGGTTAGGCTACTCGCTTTTTATATTGACTACCCTTTTAAAGACTGTTTTGGGAAAAAATGTGTTTTATTATGATTAAAATGAAATTTCCAACGCTTTGCTCTTTTTAAAAATTCATTTGTTTAATACTTTACAGCCCAATGCCAGTTCTCTCCCTCCTTTCCTCTCCTCCCCTCCCCTCTCTCTTTCTCAGAGAAGGGAAGGTCTTCCTCTGGTTTCAGGGATTGTGAGCTCTACCCTACCTTTCTGATCTTCCTTAATTCAGGGAGGCAGCTTCTTCCTCCATGAAATGCCTTCTACCCAACACTGCCCTCCTTTTCAGCACCAGACAAGAGCAAACAGACCCCAAATCTCACTGTGTAGCCCGTTACATCCCAGTCTCAACAGCTCTCCATCAATGTGTCTCAGTCCTCAGAGTCACCCTTTGACATATGTACAATTATTAGTCTTTCTACTGAGCAAATGGGGAAACTTGAGTTATGGAGGCGCCAACAGATGTGGCACAGAAGAAGGGGTAATATTTACACCCATGGTAGAGTGCAGCCTGGCATACTCAGATCCCTGGGTTCAGCCTTCAGCACTGAAAAAAAAAAAAAAAATCAAGCCAACCCAAAACGCACACACACACACCTGTGCTAGCCACAAATTTCCAAAACCAAGTCTGCCTCTTTCTCACCTCACTGTAACCTCCAGGAATGTTTCCAAAAGAATGTGCAGATCAACTCTTTGGGGTACTCCAGAGTTGAAAGACTTATTTGAATATCAGAGGAATGAAGGTTCTCTTCTATTCTTAGTTTACTTTGGTCTCAGAAACACGTGGGATTCCCAGAGACTGAGATGTGCAGGTGTCCCTGAAGGCTTTATGGCCAGAAGCAAAACGATCCAGAAAGAGACAACAAAGAAACTCTTTCCATCTTGAATTAGCTGTCCTTAACTGGTTCATACTTCTAGAGTCTGACATCAGGTCCTTTATTTTAGTCATATTTAAACACAGCACTCTTTAGGAAAAAGAAAGTATTAGCTCACTCCCCTGTGTACCACAAAGCTTAAGACATGTTTATATGGAACCTCTTTTAAAGGAAATATGGAATCTCCCATAAAGATAGGTAATGTTGATGCAGAAAGAGTACTCACGATTTAAGGTCTGGGATAATAACTGAGGTAGGGTTTCACTAGGCCCTACGATAATAGAGAAGTCGCCTAGGCTGTTGTAAACTACACCTGACATCACTCATGACGATAGATTTAATAAATTCAGAAACAATGCTCAAGATTTAGGGGGAAAGCATATTGGATAAACAAACATAATGTCTGGGTGATAGGGGTGAAACCTGCCTCTACAAATTGCAAATGCTCATCAGACTGTAAACCACATCTTTTCTCACCATGCCTGCTGGGAGACTAGTCAACATCTTTGAAGTTTAAATCTGAATGTTTAACTTTCTCTGGCTTCTCCAGTACTTATCTGTGTGCACAGAACCTGTTATGCCAGGATCATGAGCCCCTCAGAGACCACCAGGAGATGACTCTATGCAAGAGCAAGACAGCTTTATTACGAAATCAAAACTGGGGACCCAGGTCTCACTGAAGTGGGACCCAGAGCCCTGAGTGAGCAAGGTCTTTTGTTTGTTTGTTTTGTTTTGTTTTTGAGCAGGGTTTTTTAAAGGGAAAAACCACAAGCAGGGGGTTTCCATGAGAGCAAGTGGGGGGGGGGTGTTCATGCCTTGACATGACAGGATTGGGTAAAAGCCATAGAGGTGAGGTGACCTTCTACATAATCACAATTGCCATTCTTCTAAATTACATCTGGAACTCTGGGGAGAATTTTCCCAACCGATTCTTATTGATTGTTGCCAGGGAGATTGTCTCTATTTTCTAGGAAAGTTAAGTTTGTTTTCTGCCAAGAGCACATTCTGTGATACCTGAGTTCAGCCCCTGGTCAAGATGACTCCTCATATCAAAATGGAGTCACCCAGGCTAACTTAATCTCTTCAAACCTTTTGCTCTCAAAAGTGATTTTTTCAGCTCAGAGCAGATATATCTCTAGACTGTACATGAGACACCAGAGGGGCATGTTGACATCCAGATTGCTGGGCTTTGGCACAGACTCTCAGGGCAGGCCCTCTGGGATACTAAACCTGCATGTGCCCCACAGAGACTCTTATCAGTAAGACTCCAGTGAGCCAGGCCCCATGAAGACTCCTCCAGAAAGAGTCAAACAGGTTTGTGACTGTGCTTGCATTTAAGCCAGGGGAGTTTCCTCTGACTGCTACCTAAGCCCTTCATATCCCCAGGCCCAAGCGATTGCCTCCATGTTCTTGTCTGTGCTCAGTGGCAAGGGAGGGGACTGCCTGCTCTGGGAAACCTAGGCTGGGTTGTCAGACAGACCAAGCTTTCAGCCCCCCTAATCCTGTCACTTTTGGGTGACAGGTCCTGAGAACACAAAGGGCCAAGTCAGGTCATCTTTCTACAGATTTCTCTGTCAACTTTCCCACCACTTTGTGTTGAGGGATTTTATATAGCAACATGGCTTCTCTGGTAGAAATACAGACAGGCCTTTAATCCCAAGAGACAGAGGTAAGCAGGTCTCTGAGCTCAAGGCCAGGCCAGTACGACCTGGGTTCCCAACGCTTCCTAAGTTAATGGTGGCTGTTAGACATGGGGCATGGCCACAAGTGTGTGGCAACAACCCTTGAGGGTGGAGGGCTGATCAGCCAGTCCCGTGCCTGAAGCTGGGCCGCTGTCACCCCCACCAAAAGTCAGCCCCTTTACGCATTAGAGGGACCTCACAGCACCCGCCCAAGCTGCAGCACACACACCAGAGAAACTGGGTGGAAGTTTACAGAGGTCAAGGAGGATGTTCACAGCACATGTCTACACATCACTCAAGCACTGGCTGGCAAGTCTAGTTAACTAAACCATCACACATTGAGAGGGAGACACAGGTACACCGATCAGCAATGGGCACCAGAGCGTAACTTGCCAGTTCTGTAATCAGATATTAGATTTTTGGAAGTCACACCACCTTGGCAAAACAGAAAGGAACCCAAAGGGCTTTGTTGCTGGACCATGAGGGTTCTGTTACCCACTGCCTTTCCCCAAACATGAAAAGATTTAGGAAAAGACTAGGAAAGAGTGCTGCAATCAGGCTGTAGAGTGAATAAAAAAATACTTTTTAAATGCATGCTTAACTGAAACCCAGGCAGCTGGTGCACATGAGAGGGATTTTCCTTGGTTGAATTATTTGAAGTGGAGACTCACCATAAGTCTGGATAATTTGAAGCAGAAGACCCACCCCAAATGAGCCACACCTTCCAAAGGTGGTCCAAAAAATACACAGAAGAAGGAAGCTTTTGCTTTTCTGTCTGCCTGTTGTAACTCTCACTGGCAAGTTCAAGTGTTGTGCGCCCTCCCTTAGCTGGTGTCAGAAGCTGCTTCTGGATTCCAATGTGCACTGAAAATTGGCAGCTCTCTAGGACTCCAGCACCAGATTGGGGCTGCTGAGACACCCACTGCCTTAGTTTCTTTTTCTATTGTCGTGGCGATACACTACGACCACAGCTGTTTATAAAAGAAAAGGATGTAAATGAGGGCTTGCTCAGAGTTTGAAGGGCTAGTCCAGGACCATCACGGTAGGAAGCCTGGCAGGACAGGCAGGCAGGCGTGGCGGGCACAGCAGGCATGGCAGGCATGACACTGGAGCGGTAGCTAGGACTCTACACCTCCATTTGTAGTCAGAGAGAGAAGGAAACAGAGACAGAGAGACAGAGACAGAGAGAGGGTCAGAGAGGTAGAGACAGAGAGACAAAGACACACAGAGAGTGACACAGAGAGAGACTGGCCTGGCTTGCACTTTTGAAACCTCAAAGCCCACCCCCAGTGACACACATTTTTCAACAAGGCCACACTTCCTAATCCTTCCTAAAGAGTAACTGGGAGCCAAATAATCCAACTCAAATATATGCCTCTTCACGGGGCACCTGCACTCTCATGCATTACATCATTCTGAGTGGCCCAGAAGCCAGTGAGTTAATATATTGAAAATGAGCAGGAAAAAATATTGTTGGGCTGTGGTGGCGTGCTTTTATTTCCAGCATGTGGGAGGCAGAGGCTGGTGGATCTGTGAGTTTGAGGCCAGCCTGGTCTACAGAGTGACATCCAGGACATCCAGGGGCTACACAGAGAAACCCTGTCTTAGAAAAACAAAAACAAACAAAAAAAAAAAAAAACAATGCAAAGCCAAATGCCACCTGAATTGTCCACACAGCAAATCACCCTTCTCATAGCTGTGGGTGATGGAGCCATAGCCAGACGGTTTACGTATCCAGGTATTCTGTTTTCTTCCTGACCTTTAAAAACACCTCATGTTTGATAAGTTATGAAAGAAATAGAAGTTGATCATTTGTGCTGCTGGAGGTTGCCAAGTCAAGATTAAGACACCAGCAGATTCTGGGTGGCATGAAGCCTGCTTTCTCCATCTAGTATGTTTCTATGTTGTGTTTTCTCACATGGCTAAGAGAGGGATTGAATTCAGTTTTTCAAGATCTTAAAAAACAAACCTTCACATTATAACTCTTCAAAACCTAGCCTCACTTGAATGTAATGTTTCCCTCTCTAAGGCCCAACTCTTCTTCTTAAGGTACAATTCCTGTGACTTAATGCTAACTCCAAGCAAAAGGAGCCTTTCTAGTCACTTCAGGAGTGGATCCTTATCCATCTATAAAACAACTGAGGGACTTCTTGGCCATGGAGGGTCGTCTAGAATCTGGATTCCCCAGCTCAACACGGTAGCTAAATATTTCTGGGCAAGGCTTTGAGGGAACCAGAGGGTTGAAGCATTAGAGAGAGTCCCGGAAACTGACACAGGCCATGGACATCCTAGAACAGGCACATCCGTGCAACTTAGCTCTGGCATTTCTGTCACTGCTAAACCCTTTGTCTGCTTGTGCATGAGTTATAGGGACTAGCACTGGGAGTTTATTATCTTACTTGTATTGTATGTGTGTAAGTTGTTAGGTCCAAAAGAAACTCTCTTTCCCTAAATTCCACAAGGGACAAATGGCTCTCTGCAGTGCCTATTAGCAC